CATCACAATTTATTTTATATTTTAACATTAGCACATTCAAATTATCTCTTCATTTCACCATATCTCAGAGTAGAAAGAATACTTCATGAGACTACTCATACTTCATGAGAAAGATACAACAAAACATAAATTTCATATATAAAAGAAAGTTTATACAACAACAATAAACAAATAACACATATCTGCAACTCTTTTTAAAGCAAATCCCTTGTAACCTCTCTTAGGAAATGTAGGAAGAAGAAATCTCTCACTTCTCTCCCTCTCCAACACTCTTAGAGAAGAATTCACACTTAAACTCACCACAAAAACTCAAAACTAAAAAGAAAATAAATGACTAAATGGACTATAAGTGGTTATAGGGAATTTGGAATAGCGTTGAAGAGAGTAGAAAGTAGTTGAAGGGCGCGAAGGGGCGTGAAGGGGGTCTTTTCTAATCAATTTCGGCTCTAAATAGAGCCTAAGGTCAGTTTTCCAATAGGTGCATCCAAAAACTCTTCAAAAAGCGTCCAAATTTGTCGAATCCTCTAGAAATAGGGCTTGCACCGACACTGGCGCCATCGACCATTTAATTAGACCGTGCTCTCTGTCAAATGGCACTGAGTGCTGACGGCGGTGAACATTTCTTCAAAAACTCTATTTTGACTCTAAATTCCATCATTTTTGCTTCCTTTTTGCTCTAAGTCCTAAAAATCAACAACCTGCAATAAAACATGAAAAATACCTTCCTTTAAAGTGCAATATCACAAAAAATTACTATAAAATATGGGTCTAAAATTGCATATGTTTTTGGTGTATCAAAATCCCCCAAACTTAAATGTTATTTGTCCTCAAGTAAGTCTTTTACTACATAAAAATATGACTCATTACAAAGATTTTGGCTTCTAGATTTCTATATTTTAGTCCACTAAATACAAAAGCATAACTTAAGAAAAATGTAAAATAACTCCAGTTAATACAAAAGATATAAGAATATCTAGCAGTCAAGTCTAAGATTTTATATTCTCTATTCTTTTGAAGGAAAATTACAAATTATTCATATTAAAGCCACTTAGAATATCCATATGAAAAAGAACTTCATGAAAACTTACTAGTAAATATGCTAATACTGAAATATAAGTTTAGAAAATGTAGTCAAGCCTTCTTCTTTAAGTTGATTCAAGTGAAGCCAATTTTTAATTAGGCATCTCCTCAAGCTTCTCCTCACATCTTTTTCTTTTCATTCCTTTTCTTTTCTTTTCTTTTCACGATCATTTCCAATCCTTTTTCTTTTCTTTTCTTTTCTTTCTTTCTTTTTTTTATGTGAGGATACTATATCTGGATAGCCTTTAATGATTTTGAACTTCACTATCATCTTCTTAAAGTTAAAAGCTTTTCACGTTCCTTCACTTTATAAATTTATATTAGCTTTAAAGATTTTTCATAAAATTTTATTCTTTTTTTCTTACATGAATCTCTAAGATTTTTCTAAGATTTTTATCTAAGATTTTTAATACTTCAAAAATACAAATTCCTTTACTTACAATAGAAACATAGTCTTATTCTATCATACCAAATGTCTTAATATCTAAAATTAACCTTTATTATTGAAAATTTTCACTTAAGATTACTATATATTTAGAAACACAAATATAATTATCTAAAGTTACCCTCTAATACCAAAGGTCATGTTAAATTTTAAAATATTTTGAAAATATAGCTAATTGAGGACAAATAAAATTAAGTTTCTTTTCTTTAAAAAGGAATTTTTCTTCCCCCCAAACTTAAATTTTTAAAAAATTTAGCATGAAAGACTGAAAATATGACTCAAAAAATTAAATAACACATAATACATATAAAAATTTGTTAAGAAAGAGTTAATCACAAATACATTCAACAAAGTACTAAAAACTAACAACAGTACTAAAATGATTTCTAATGTAAAAACAGTTTCACAAATCTATTGTTCACAATACAACATAATTTTTAAAATAAAGT